ATTGATCTTAAGAATTCTCGTACTCTGAGCCCTGTCTTCGATAGCTGCTAAACATGGCATCAACACTGTTCGTGATGAATTAGGTTTTGTAGAATACTCAACTTTCTGTGAAGAATACTAAGGTTCTTCAGTCTGTGCGTACTGAACTCAGTAACATAGATAAAGATAATTTGGAAGAAAGCTCGAAGCTGGCCTCGGACAGACTATGAGAAATCTTGGATACCTACTACGATAATTCCAGGTTACAGGTACCATCCTCGGAGTTCAGTATTAGGGAATTACGAGGCCTTGACAAGGCAATGCAAACAATGCGAGGAGAACTCATCAATAATATAGCCAAGCTATCCGAACTCGACAAGCATATAGCTTATGAGAAACAAAACTTGAACAGGCGCGTGATGAATTCAGTAGACGCCGCGTTGCAGAAAGACTGTGTAACTTAGAAAAAGAAAGATCAGCCACCCTCGAAGCAGCTTTGAGTAATAGAAAGGCACTTCGTTCACAAATCAGTCGAATTCCAGAAACTATTGATCAAGTCGTCAATGATGACACTACATTGGCCGATAAAATTAAAACATTGTTCAGAGAACAGGGGATAACCATTGCCAGTATTTTAACCGCTAGGGATTTATTATATCGACTCTCGCGTTAACCGGTGGTACAGGCGGTACAGGAGGTGGCACACTGCCTAGTGATAAAAATGGTGTAAAAGAGTGGATAAAAAAGTATTTAAAAGCATTAGAAAAAGCACTGGAATAGCTCGTTGGGAAAGCCGCGTCTGCACTTCCCGGTATAATAGGGAGTATCGCGTTAACCGGTGGTACAGGCGGTACAGCAGGTGGCACACTGCCTAGTGATAAAAATGGTGTAAAAGAGTGGATAAAAAAGTATTTAAAAGCATTAGGAGAAGCACTGAAATAGCTCACTGGGAAAGCCGCGTCTGCACTTCCCGGTATAATAGGGAGTATTGTTTCCTGGCTCTTGAATTTATTAGCAATGACCACCACTTGGCTTAGTCAAAACTTGTGGGCACTGATCGCAGCAATTGCCGGGCTGTTGTACGTATCCGCTAAGAACTATTTAACCAAATCATGAGTAAACCAACTCCATCTACTATAAGCGCTGTTTGTTGTTGATTTTTAGCTGCAATATGTGGTGGCACTTGTAGTTGTGCGTTAGTAGATGTGTTAGTAGGAGCGTCAGTAGATATCTGTGGCTTGACTATTCCCGTTTCGCCTGTGTTTGTTTGCGTTATTAATTCAGTGTTAATATCTGAATTTATACCTAGTTCTTATTGATCAGTAGCAATAACAATTTTATTATTATAACCGATCACTTGACCAATCTTAAGTTCCATATTACTCGGAGACATGTATAGTCCCGGTGCATAAACGTAGTCTACTTTGGATTGAGCGTACTGTAATACATCTTGATATCGTTTTATAGAAGATGGTATGTAAACTGGTGAATTAATAGCATCCTCCACGTTTGCTACAAACTGTTTTTGCTCATCAAGCGCCGTCCCAGAACCAATTATTCCCGTTCGTGTTTGCGATTGTGCACCGAGAATTGCCCATACTTAAGTTCTTATTGATTCATTAACTCTTACAACTCCTTACAATTATTTTCTGTTTTATCATTTAGAAATTCATTCCAAGCGCTTGCTGTATCATTCAGTTGCACAATTGTTTTAACAATATAAGCTAAACCACCCTTAAAACTCATAAGATCTCCTCTCCAATCGTTACTCGAAAGTTCCCAAACATGATTAAGATTATGCAATCTTACAAAAAGATTGTTTTCCTGTAACAACTTAAATGGATCGAATGGTAAATGAGGTTTTTTTAACTAAATCATCACTTTCTTCTTTAACAGTTTTTTGTCCACTCTATGGAACACCTAGACCATGGTTAAGTCCTTAAAAACGCCAATCTTTACTCGTAGAAATATTAAATTCCTGACAAATACGCTCATACCCGAACCTATTGTACGGATTATTTGATGCATTCCATGCTCGATCCTGCGGTAATGGGGCACTAATTTCTTTAAGAATACATCTAATCTGATAGTACACGTGAAATGATAATACTGACTTATTTAGTTCAATCCTGGGGCATAAAGAGATACACCACATGCTGTTGTGGCACACCATATGGCAAAGTTTAACTGGTTCAGCCAAAATTGCATCGGATTGTGGAACCAATCCTGCAACATTTTATCGCTAGTTGTCATGACCCTGTATTTTTCAAAGATATCAGGGAAGTTAACAAAAACATTAGCACAAGAGGCACTTACTAAAATCGACTGATTAGTAATGTAAGTTGATTTCATATTTAAGTTATGATATAGTATCTTTTTATATTTAATATGTATGTTACACTCCCAGGAATAACAAATGATCAGTCTATTCAACTGCTTCATACTATTGATAACTCGGCTGGTCAACTTGAAGTCGCTCTATGTGATGTAACATATTACCCGCGGTGGACTAATATAAGTGCTGCAAGAAGAAATAATTGGTTTTTAATAGGTGAATTAGGTATTGATCACAATCACATTGTTATACCTGATGGGTATTACAGCGTATGCTCACTCAATGATTAATTTGTTAAGCCTTTGGGAATTAGTCTCACACAAAATGAGTCGAATGGGATGCTGATTTTAAACTCTGGAGAAAACAGTTTAATGCTTAACCCGAACGTAGCAGATACACTTGGACTTGTAAACTCCGGAGGAGTAATATTGACAATAATAAATCCCAAAGAAACACGGCATGGAACTAAATTACCTGAACTGCTAGAATGGGACTCGGTGTAGCTATTGTTGGTTTAATATCAACTATAATCGCCCCGCCTATGGTACTTTGCATGGAAATAGCCGCAGGAGTCTTAGGACTGGCAGGAATAGCGATAAAATTTATTTCTTGTAAGTTGCAAATGAAAGCATTAACACATGATAATATTCGGATACTCACCCAAGCAAAGTTGAACAGCATTGAGGATCATAGTTCAACAGCACTGACTGATTGTAAGATATCCGAGGAGCAGTTTCGTTTAGTGCTGTCAGAACTCACCAAATACAACGCAATGAAGCTGGAGATTCGATCAAATTCTCGTAAGACTAGTGGTATTAGCAAAGACGAGAAAAAAAAGTTCTTAGAACAGGGGAGACAACAAGCGCGTCAATTATTCGGTGCCAAAACCAAAGAACTTGTTGGAGATTAAAAATAGATTGTTTCCTATTGTTGGATCACATTTAAAGGAATGCTTACATAAGTATATAATAATGAAGAATTACAAACCAACAAAGGGAGAACTCGTAAAAGCAATCAAAGCATTTTTGCTCATGGACAAAATTATCAAATGGAGAGAGTTACCACAAGGTATATATTATATCAGTGATGTCAAACCACCCAAATACGGTTATCAATTGTTTCTTTCCAATTACCAAGAAGAGTATATAGTATGGTTTCCCAGAAAAATGAACGAAGAACTTAGTAAAAATGTTGAATATCACTTTGTTAAAAATAATGGTATGCGTATCAGTAAGAATGATAGAGAATATTTTCATTACAATTTAGTTTAATATCATGACGTTTGTTGATGCGCATCATCATTTTGACATAAAAAAAAATCATCTGTAGTAGCGGTATAGGTATACAAGTCTGGCTCCAGTGGAAGTGAGCCAGAATCACCATTACCTATACTACTAGTTCTATCCAAGTTCCTGTACTTCTGACACTATGTTATGATCTGTTGTTCTCACAATTGACCAAACCAACCGTGATAATGACGAGGGAGACATAGGTTTGAGTCTTCGTTGATGTCCGTCGTGACTGACTACACACATATGGTTAATGTCACCACATATGATGTGTTTCACAATGTACAATATTGGGAGGATATATTTAGTGAAAGAAAAACACTCTCTCTTGAGCAGCAAGTCCACAGACATATGAAGAAAGTAAAGAACAGTCAGACTACAATTGCAGACAGGACGAGCCCCTAGGTGACCAAGTCTATTTGCAAAAGGAAAAACAAACTGCAAAATAAGCAGAAATCCTATTACCGCATGATTGAGCAAACTTCCCCAGTTACACACAATAGCCACAATAAGATGGTATCACAACTAAAACAGAACACCTGAGGGTGGCCATGGTTGTTGAATGGGTTAGCCAAAGGTGCTAATGTTATTTGAAAGTGATGAAAGTTTAATGAATAAAACAAGCAGGTTTAAACGGTCGGTCACTTTTGTCATAAATTTTGTACCTCATAGGCAGTTTATAACTAAGTGTAATAGCGACATAGAACAAGTCATATTGACTATTCAGCAAGTGCTGAATCGCTATCATTCGGATAGATTAACAGATCTTTGCCGAGTTTGGCCACAAAAGCAATCATTTTTATCCTTTGTCCGGACAAGCACTATGTTTCCTGGTTGACGTAGTATCTAATGCACATCTGAATACTATTCGCAAATCAGATGGGATTAACCTATATATTGTTGAGGAAGGATTATCAATTGTAAACTCATCGAGGGTATGAACAGTTAATTTGAATGACATTTGGTTATCTCTCTTTAAAAGCACTCTGAAAATGCAAGCAGGACACAACCGGCAAACAACAAGGAGGGACCAGCAGAGAGGCAAGTCAAGGACAAGCTGGGGCAAACACTGACTAGCAAGTCCAGCCCATCAACTAGAGACACTTCTATAATGTGGCCTATATTTAGATCTGATAAATGACTGTACTCCGAGAGTGTTGTACAGAATGTAGCCCCTGCTCTTATATAATGTAAAGACAGTTGATTTTGCTAAATCATACGTTGAAGTGAACAAGCAGAACCTGTCAAGTATAATGAACCTAAATAATAAGGAACATTTCTTTAAAAATTGAGTACAGGTTATTTTCGTTTTAATAGTGTTGTCAGTGTCGACAGCTAAAGATGAATTATCTTTAAAAGATTAGGAATCTTTGTTTCCTGTAGTGATCACTACATACGTTTAGAACTGCTTTCCAGTGACATCCTGCAAGACATGAAAAGGTCGAAAAAGATAACGTAAGATGATATACACACAAAAGATAATACGATGACATGTCGTCATTCTTCTCCAAACCAGAAAAAACAGCGTTGGACTATGTCTCGAGGGCTATATCCTGTTATAAGGTGTTACAACTATAATCTAACTCACCACTTGTGATGGAGCTGTTTCAAGCTGAAACGTGTCAATCACACTGTCGTCATTCACTTTAACAAAATGGCCTCGGTCTAGCGGGTATTCAACATTCGTCTGACCTCCGGTTTACTAATCTCTTTGCTTTGGCGTGCCTAAAGGACTGCACAGTGAATCGCGGCGCCTATGACGACTGGGCCACCCGTGCCTGAAATTGAAAAAGAAAAAGTGAGAATGGAAGCAGGAAAAGAGAAAGAAAAATAAGATAGAGAATATCGACTTAAATTGAGATTGGAAGCTGATAAAGAAATTCGGCTAAAAGAATTTGAATTACAGAATTATCACTCTCTCAGTGCCTGAACAGGTGATGGTGCGTTGGTGTTTTTTTCCGCCATTCTGTGAACGTGATGTTGAGAAGTTTTCTTGAATTTTGAAAAGGTGGCTAACAGTTTGAAGCGGACTGCTCAGAAGTTTATTCACATTATAAAAATGCAATAATCCAAAAATGGCTATCACGTTGTAAACAAAAAGTTATTTTTAAAAAGCTTTTGACTCCGTTGTTGTTCGTTATAAACTATGGTACTGGTTAAGAACTACTGGTCTTCAGGGGGAAATGTACTCTATATTAAAAGCTATTTATTCAAATATCAAATTTCTTTGACTGTCCTGTTGGCTTACGACAAGGATGTATCTTGAGTCTGATATTAGTTCTCATTTTTTATTAGTTAATTATATTATGAAATTATGGCTAAGGATAAACATGATATTCAAATTTTCCCAAATGTAATAGAAATTTTGTAAATTATGTCATTTTAGTATTAGATTCTGTTGTTGGACTACAAAAACAATTTAACATTTTAGAATGTTACACCAAAGAGTGGAAACTATCAGTTAAGTATGATAAAACAAATATTGTCATTTTCAGAAGTGGGGGTAAGGTGCCACTGAATGAAAGATGGTTTTTCGTTGGCAAATGTGTTAATGTTCTGAGCCATTATACATATCTTGGTGTAATGTTTACCCATACAATGAACTTCAAGAAAGGTGTCTCGGAATTAACATCATGTGCAAAGAAGGCCTTAATCAATGTAAGGTCTGTCTTGCAGAAAGTGGGAGCTTTTACACCAAATATATTTTTTAAATTATATGATGCCCAAATCCAACCAATGCTGTTATGTGGATCAGAAGTATGGGGATTTTAGCGATACAACATTCTCGAAAAGCTACATCTTTTAGACTGTAAAAAAATCTCATCCGTTGGTCTATCAACATCCAATTGTATGGTCTATGGCGAGTGTGGCAGATACCTGTTATATATCCACTCGCAAATTAGATGCTTAAAATGCTGGTTTAATATTCTTGGAATACATGGACACCGAATGCCCAAACTTGCATATAATATGCTTGCACATTTAGACGACATGGGCAAAGTTACATGGGCATATTAGAAACCTTTTGTTTTCTCATGGCTACGGCTTTGTATGGTTAAACCAAACAGTTGGTGATATTAAACTCTTTTTGAAACAATTTCATGAACAATCTATAAATATATTTTACAAGAAATGGCATTCCACTGAAGAAAATAGTTCAATGTATGACTTGTATAGAACTTTTAAGAGTCTATTCAACCAGAAAAAATACTTATCTACATTAACATCAAGAATCATTTATTCAAGTTAGGACCGGATAGTCAGATATCATTTTAAATGAAGGAAGAAAAATGTCCACTGAAAAATCGAAGAGGATGTGCCCATTATGCCATTCAGCTATAGAAAATGAAATTCATTTTAATTTTGTATGTCCTTATTATTGTGATCTAAGAAACAAGTTTAAACCAGAACGCAATGTCTAATTATCCCGAACCTGCTTTATTTCTCCTCTTTTTTCAAAAGATGATGTTGTCATATTAAAACTTGCTATATATGTTAAAATGCAATTTCCCTCCCAACAAATTGTTAACATGAGTATATATCCAAATATGAAAAAACTACTTATTTGTAACTATTTTGTATATGGGCCGGACGCCTTATATAGAATAAATATATTTGACATGACATGACTTACCTATTGATAGGAGTTCGGATTATCAGGTTGTTAAGTTTTGAAGTCTTATGAATTGGTTCCTGAAGCTTACAGGCAAAAGTATACGTCTGCTAAGAAGATGGATGGTTCTACTTTTGTTGCGTTTGCAATGGAGAAGGAGTGATTGAGTGATTTGGGTTTAACACCACTTTTAACAGTATTCCAGTTCTGTCACAGCATGTCAGCTTAATGTGGGAGGAAAGCCCCAAGTGATGCAGGTCTCAGACGTTTACCACTTCGGTGAAACGCACGAGCACGGGTATGGTGCTGACAAATCTAGAAACATAATAAGGTCGAACCGGGATTCAAACCCACAATCATAGGTTTCTGGCGTGTCCAAGGGACGAATCGCGGAGCCTTAGACGAATAGGCCACCTGTGGATTTTCATCTGAGCCCACTTGTAGATATTGCTGCAAGTCAGGGTACATCATTTCTAACTGTAGAAAGATTGCTTTCAAAAACAGGTCATTCATCCCAGAATGCTTTTGTGAATATCAAGTCACAACCTTTTTATGGTTCAGAGTTAGGTGTTGTAGACAAGTCATCAAAGTATGTCGTTGTTAGTGAGGAGTACATGTACTTACCTTATGTTAGTAAAGGTTTTGTGTCACCTGAAGGTGACAGTTCCAATGTTATGCCCATTACCGTTTTGTGGGATACTGGTGCTCTTCAAACTCTGAGTTTGGCCACTTTCTGGGGAGTCATCAACGAACTGTGAGGTTTTAACCAATGGTTGTGGTTGTACCAGTGCACCTCTCCATTTCGTGAATTGGAAGACCGAATTGGTGTCTGGTTTGGTCAAGGTTTTCGTTGTAGCAACTCTACCTGATAAGGGTGTAAAGTTGCTCAATGGGAAGATTCGGCTGGGGGAGATGTTTGGCACAGCCTAGTGTTTCTTTTGAGCCTACCGCTTTGGAAAGTACTAAAAATCTTGAAAAAGAGTGAGTGAGTGAGTTAAGATTTAACGTCACATCGGCAGTATTTCAGCCATATCGTGACGAGAAGTACATGAATAATACATATTGTTATACAATATAAAACGCTGTCAAAGATGGACAGTACTAGCATATCACAGTCTATTTAAAACTAGTTGAGAAGATATCTTGAAAAAGAAATTCCAGGTACTTTTCCTTCGTGTGTTGTTACTTGCTTGTGCTATGGCAAAGCAAAGTTCTTCTGAAAATGATTCCAGTTGCCTGGTACCTTTATTGATCATTCTTTTAGACTGGGTTTGAATTTGGTCTTTCCCGCATATTCGCACAATTGTCTCGTCGATTATCTGTACCTTTTCTCCCAATACCCATTGTCATTTCGCTCTCACTTTCGGATGCGATTGTTCAGGCATTGCATTTATCTACCTTCTCCAGCTACATCTATTGGGAACTGTAGATGCAAGATTTCCTAATGTTTCAAAGTATGAACTGTTAGTGAAATGACATGAAAACAAGTTAAAATTGTTACAATTCATTTAACTTATTATCCATGGTGGTCCAATGATTAAGACACTTTTTTATTACTCTAACGTTCTAAAGTTCAATTTTCAATGTAATATTTATCAATTCTAAGATACGTGTATACAATGTTTACATTTTCTCAATGACCTTAACCTTCATGTGCAATGTGAAACCTCACAGGTCATGCCGCGACCTCTTCAAAACTCATGCTTTTCGAAGCACATGCTCACCAGTGTGTATTGGACCTCCATGCTGCCAGGTCCTCACCTTACTGCCTGCTATATTTGAACTATCTAAAGACACATGTGAGAACCTTTGCCTTTCATTGTTAGGTTTTCTGAACACCCTGAAATTGTATATATGCCGAAATATTAATTTAGTGCAAAATTGTTTAGATATTTCACACAACTGTTACATTATATTTGCAAATGTGTGCTTGGTAATTTTGCATAATTTCAATGTAGTCAATGTATTTATTGCTTCATTTGGATGTAATTTCGAATGTGTTAAATACTAGGAAAATTGGTCAATGTTTCTGAATTTACAGAAAGCTTTTGTTAATTGTAGTTTTCTGAACCTCATCAACTTGTCGACGCTTCAAGTTGTCACCAACTCGTCACCAACTTGTCATCAACTGTCACCAATTGTTCCTAAAGCCATGGCTCTAACTAAAAACTGTACTAAGTTAAACGTCACGAAATAAACCCTGTTGATGCGAGTGTTAGTTTTGCCGTCTTGCATCCACATTAGTTCAGAAAAATATACAGACAGTAGGGTGTAATTATTGGTAAAATGGCAGTATGTTGAACGTCTGACCGTAATGGAGGCCAATTCACACTCATCTTAGACTGTGCAGTCTGGGATACGTTTGAAGTTTTTTTTAAGCTGTTTATTGCTTAACAGTACATGTATTAAACGTTTAACCATAAAGCAATCTATCGCACAACAGGTGTTAATTGTTGAAAAGTGACATCTGTATTCTTAAAAGTCATGGCTACAAGAGACATGCGGGATTACTCGGACGTTTCCAATCCTGTAGAAGAGGACAAACACTGGGACATGCTGGGAGGCGAAGAGAATAAGGACACTTCACAACGTCCAGTACGACAGAGAATTCTTACGGAGAAAGGCAAAAGTGAACATTTACATCTGCTAAGGAACAAGAGTATTGCTGCTCTTTCTGCGTTGACTCAGATCAAAAATGAACTTGTTTCTCTTATGAACAATCACGATAATTTGCATTTAGTTAAATCTTTTCTTGATAATTTTGCTGCTTTGTTTTCCAGTTACAAAAAAAGAAGTTCTCAGCTCTATTCCAGTGAACTTGACACTCCTGAGGAGAAAGTGAAGTCTATTAAGCATGCTGCGGTTAAGCTGAATGAAGCTCATGGTTTCAGGGATTGTCTGATCAAGGTAACAGAGAATCAATTTCAAAACAAAATTCTATAATCAGTGGGCTATCTAAGCGTTCGTTTAAGTCTAAAAAGTCTACCATTAGCTCTACTAGGTCTGCTCATATTTTTGAGAAAGCGAAACTTGCTGAGCTCCGTGCAGAAAAGGCTATGCTGCATTCGATGACACAGGCCCAGACATCCATGCATGAAACGCAGCTGAAGATGAAAGAGCTTGAGCTCGACATGGAGATCGCCAAGACCAGTGCAAGAGAACAAA